GTTTAATACATAACATTTAAATTAAAACCCTAATATTAAAATTTTATTAAGAATAAATTACTCATACAGGTTATAGTGACGTTACATATCACTTATTTCCTTTTAGGTTTTAATACTGAGTAAAACTCTTTACTTTTACTTTACTCTGATACTCAAATACACCTGATGTGTCTGGCTGTACTTTGTATTTTCTTTGTTATATTTTACACCTTTTACACCGAAGCAAATTCCTAATGTGTGAGTCATATTCATTGACGATGGTAATAAAACTGATTCTGATAAAAAAAGAAGTGAATTTAAATCACTACTTCATTAAGTACACAAAACATGTACACACTGAGCAGTGAGCTGGTGTTCCCACCAAACATGTATAATTTACACAAGATTTTAGAGTTTAGTTACTTTCTACTGTGTTCCTGTTAATRATATGCACAGTAGCAGTACTTATATTTAGGGATGCACTGAAATGATTTCAGCTGATATCATTAACTGATGTTATTATTATTATTATTGGTGTTGTGGTTGATAACTAATATTTATCAGTATTATACAAGCATAGAAATTATTTATATACATATACGCACAAATACATTTGTGTTTTTTATATTATATTTTTTGATAGTGTAAAAAAAGACCAGACCTCTGACATGGGTCTGCTTCAGTTATTCCTGGCTGCACTGCGTCATCATGATCAATCAGCTGCTGCTCAAACATTCACCTCCAGAAACAGAAACACAAAGATAAAAAGTGGGAAATCAATATCAAACATTAATATTAACCCAGTTTTACTCATCAGACCCACACCGATGTTAATGCTGATACATCATACAGGTAGTACCATGGAAAGAAACATTTCTAACCCTGCGCTGGCTAAATAATTATAAATCACCTTCCTGCTCCTGCAGCAGCTKTTAGTGTGTAACAGGACATCAATCCACATCAGTATTGATTAAATGATTAATGGTTAAATTATATCAAGGCAAAATGAAAACATCGATTATATTAGGGCTGCAATGACAATATGACTTAAAAAGAACAAATACATAAGTGTTGATGTCTTTCTGCTTTGGTTCAGAGAAATTAAAAAAACGAATCATTTCCATTCATGGATTTTTAAAAAATATGAAGAGATCCATCAAACTGGGCAAATACATGAAGTATACTGGTGAAATACTTCAGTATTCTGTCTGACAGATAAAATATATTAATGCAAACTTCTGAGCCAAATATTTGTTGCAGTTTATGCAGTTTTTTTTTGTGATATGGTTTAAAGACGGGAATCTAGTCTCATGATTCGATTCATAATTGATTTGTCATTTAAAACTGATAATGTGAGCCCGTTTGTCCTGTTCCCAAGGTTTTTATTTATTTATTTAGAAATTTATTCATTTCAGTTGAAACACAAAATAACAAAGAACAAAACAACATGCAATCAAAATCAAATCAAATAAAGTGAAAGGCAGCAGAAGAATAAATCTTAT